TAACAGTCTTTCATTAATATGTGGCATTTTGGTTCCTTCTCCCTTTCCCTCTCTCTCTCTCTCTCTCTCTCTCTCTCTCTCTCTCTCTCTCTCTCTCTCTCTCTCTCTCGTAGCCAACTGCCAATTACATTTCTAAATTTATTCCAAAACTCACAACATATTTATAGCTTCCTGGAAACACACAGAATAAGTCACACTTCCAAGCTTCCTGAAAACGAAGTGGCTTAATATTTTGCAATGGAGCAGTTCTTTGTTGTCTTTTAGAGGGCTAGCAGATACCTAGCTATACTATTTACATTATTCTTGAAAGTAAAATTATCTTGCTGGACTTCCACTGACAACCATCATGTTTCAATGTTATTATGATATAATTTGAAAGCACATGATGACTGTAATTATTGCATTTAGGAACAAAGCTCTCCCGAGGCTGAAATATTGTACTCTACTGACAGGATAATGGGGAGTTGCTGATGAACGATGGGAATCATGGATCCTTTTTAAAACACTATTTAACCAATGCGAGCCTTCTGAAACCTGGTACCCTCAAGATGAGTTGGGCAACACCTCCAATCACCCCCAGCCAGAGCATCTGGAGAGCAGCTGACTGACCCATGCGTCATATTCTTTTCCAGCTGACTGGTAATGAGTGAATACTTTGTTTTCTGTTGATATCTATGTGGAGACATCCAGCACATTATTTTATTCTATACCTAGCTACTAACAAGAGCACTCCAGTTCAGGACTCCAACCGGCCTAGAAAAGAAATTCTGTAGTTCTTTTCGGGAATATAAAGGTAGTGGTGATAGGCATCAAAAGGAGGAAAAGGTTGGGCACCGTTTTCCACTTCTCCCCTGCAGAAACTCTTTCCTAATGTGGTATGAACACTCCAGCTGTAATCCTATACACTTTTACCTAGGAGCAAGTCTCAATGAACTTAATGGGACTGGCTTCAGAGTAGAGATACCTATGATGATTTTATTATATTTGTTGCGAACATCCTGGGAAGTGGGTGTGGCACTTTGGGGTGAGAAAGAAGGACATAAATGATTATATTACTAGAGAAATACAGGGCTTGGGAGTTTTGTGGGGACTGATGATGAAAGGGAATAAGCCCCAAACTGGTCACACAGATGATAAACAGCTGCCCACGCCACTCCTCTGGATAACTACGGTAGGGAGCTTGTTCTAGAATTAGACATATTTAGTAGGGTAGTCCCATGTGCATTTCTTTGGGCTGTACATCCCATGGTGCTGGGTAAGCCTACTCCTAGGAAGGTATGCATAAGACTACATCCTAAGAATTTTAAAAAAATCTACTTCTGATTAATTTCCTTGTTGTGCACAAGCATATTCCTATTTAAGGTTGCATTCATCCATCAGGTTGTCTGTGCAACTGACTGAATAATTAATTCACCACAATATTAAAATGTAGATTTCAATATGAGCTCTCCTCTCCTGAAAAGGCTTGCAATGTTAGTAGCATCCCAGTAAAGAATAGGTGTGTATTTACCGACCAGAGATGCCAAAATAGTGAGTTGGGATTTGGAGCTGATTGGCAGATTCTTGATACATTGCAAAGCGAAACACTGTTATGCTAACCTGGGGATGGGGAGAACATGCCAAAGTGGATTGACCACCTCCAGATTAAAAAACAGGACCTCAGAAGAACTGGATCTCTCAAATCAAAGATCAAAAAGTCCTTAGTTGGATGCCATTAGTTGTTGCAGTTCGTAACTTATAATGTGCTAACTTGAGCACTGCATTTCAAATGCAGCACTATAAAATATTAACAGTTTAATGCTTAGGAATAAATTATTTGCCTGTGCCAATCAGTCGAGAGAATGTGAGATCTGTGTTAACTGTCCTCCAGGTTTTGTCACTTGTTATTGTGAGCTTGTAATATTTATTTCAACCTGTTAATTATTCAGTCAAATCAATTAAATGCAAGACCATTAATCAACCCCAAGCAACTGGCAACCCTCTCCCTTCCCTGCAGTTTGCCTCTTCTGATTTGACTGGCTATTCCTCCCTTCCGCAGTGGCTGACTGCAGGGCCACCTAGTGGAGAAGACACGGATGGAAGCGGGCAGAGCTCAAAAAGAAGGCTGGTGAAAGCTGGAGACTGGCAGCTGCTTCTTGCAAGCAACTCTTCCTCCCATCCACCCTATTGCTGTGACCAGAGGGCAAAGATTAACAAGCCTGCAATGTTAAAAAAAAAAAAAAGACACACCCAAACTTTGCCATTGTGTCATCAAGAGCAAGAAAAAGGGAGCCGGTAGTGGTTGGAGCAAACGGAGCAAAACGAGGTGGGTGAGCTCCTGGATTCATTTAGGCGGCCATCCCATGGACCCCTAACTGGGGCTAAGTCCCATTGTCTCCCAGGGAGCTTATTTCCAAAGAAATAGATGTGGGCTTGGACTGCATCAGGCTAATGCTGTGATTAGGAGCTGAAAAGCAATTATTCTGATTCCGTCCAGGGAAATCTGCTAGAACTGGCAGCGCCGCACTTGCAGTGTATGACCAGCCTGCGGTGGGGACCTTTAATTCATGCTGAAGTGACAGAGAGCAGCACTCGGGGTGGGGTGAGGGCTTGCCACATTTCGGTGCGGCTCTCTAATTTTGCAGCTGTTCAGGGTTTCTCCCTCACCTCCTCCTCTCCTTAGACTGCGCTCGTGTGCTGCTGTCAATGCGGCACCTAATGCATTATGTAAGAAGCACTGCACCAGCTCGCTTACCCAGTGAAGAGGCCCGATGCAGACCTTGGCGGCCAGAAGAGGAACGGTGGGATCCGCAGGACGCAGCTTTGCACATTCTCTAAGTACCGAGACGGCGTGTGCAGACTGGGCAGGGGAGGGGGAGGAGAGGGAGAGAGACAGAGCGAGGCAGAAGAGATGATCAGGCAATGTGGCTGTGGAGTCCATACAGGTTATTTATGTCAAATGTCGCCTTCCCACTACTAGGTACTTCTGTGGGACTTGTGACCTTGGAGAGGAGAATCAGGACTGAAGCTTGCCCCCAGACCCCGCTTTTTGATTTCAAGGCTTGCTGCCCAACTGCCCCTATCCCAGATGTGCCAGTGCGAACTGTGATTACTGAGAAGCAAGGGAAAGGCACTCTGCATCTGCTCAGAGGTACTCTCCACTTTACAACTTGTAGCAGGATCCTGGCAAAGGAAGGGGAGATCGTGGCATTGCTATGCCATCTATTTACATACAAATAACTATACTGAGAATGAACCAGCAGGCAGTCACTGTGCAAACAACACAGAACTAATACGAAACTCAGCATTAGCGCTCTCTCTCTCTCTCTCTCTCTCTCTCTCTCTCTCTCTCTCTCTCTTTCACACACACACACAAGCAAAATCTACTGAGGCACACGTACACCCCTAACCCGCCCAGCTCCTTCTTCCACCAGCTGAAAAAAAACCCAAACCTGTTTCTCTCTCCCTGGGTACACAGCAACTCTGCCAACAATTTTCCCTCCCACACATCCATATGGGAGAACACTGGTCTCTGATCAGTTGGTGCATCGTACCCACCAGCCACCAGGGATGACGGAAGAAACATCGTCCAGCCATTTGCGCTCATTGTGGAAACATGAGAAACATGGCTTGGTATGTTCATTAAGTAAATGTACAAAAAATGGTCACTCAGTAACCATTAAAACGGGTCCTGGGAGGACTGAGCTGTTGCTCCAATTGTGATTTGATTGGTTTATGACTAAATTCACCAGAAATAATTTGCTCAGAGCAACCGTGGGTGGCGAGGGATATTTAACTCTTCCTACCCATTTCATTCTCACTCAGTATTCAGCCCTGTGGGGAAAAGAGAGGTCAGGGAGGGGATTTTGACTGGGGAAATTCTGGGCAGAGTCCGGAGAGGTTTAAAAAAGTCCCCCCAGTAGAGCTGCAAGCAGCCTCTCAGGCCCCCAGATCTGTGTCAGTATTTTTTCAAAAATGAACACCCCCCACTACAGATCTCCAGCATAATGTGTAGCTTGGCCTCATGCCACATACTGCAGGGAAGGTGAAAAATGAGAAATCAGGTCTACTAACCAATCTATTTTGGAGGAAAATCATGACATCATATTTCCAAAGGCAAGCATGACTGTCCCATTGCCTCCTGCCTCCTAAGTCAAGAGGGGCTTCCAGAAGGCTTCTGGTATCTCCAGATATAGTGCCGCTGTTCCAGCCCCAAAGACCTCCTCCCAGTCCAACATCAGCGTCACAGAGGAAGACACTGTTCCTCAAGATGCTTTGCCTTCAGCTAACTCACCGCAGTCTTCCTCATCTCTCTCCCCTATCCCCGGTGGGGGACAGTTCTCAGTACTGCCAATTAAAAGGCCTTGTGTAGCTCTGCCTTCTTTCTCTCCTTAAAAGACTTTCAATGGTCAGACAAAAGATGGGGGTGATACAGATGGAAGAAGTCACCATCTAGAACTTTAGTACTATTTACTGAACTACAGAGCATAAAAGCCTCATCTGGAAACCCCCTCAGTGTAATGCCTGGCACTGCAGTGAAGGCAATGAGGAATCTCAGGACCCTTTTGTGTTAGGTGAGCTTTCATGCATGAGACCTGCAAACCTCTCATCTGTGGAATGATACAGAAGATGCCCCTCGGTGAACACGTGAATTTGCTCCAGCGAACATATGAAGCAATCTTATACTGCATCTGATCATGGTTTGAAGTTTTAGCATAGAATAATACTAACTGGAAGATATAATAAGGGTGTGTAAAACTATGCCTGGTATAGAGAAAATGGAACCAGAGAAATTTTGCTCTTTCTCATATCATACTGGAAGCAGAGTTATACACTGAAGCTGAATGTTGGAACAGTCAGAAGAGATGAGGGGAAATACTTCATGCAGCACATAGTAAACTGTGGGATTTGGTATCACATGATGTGATGGACACTAGCTTAGGTGACTTAAAAGGAGACCAGACAGGTTTATGGAGGCCAAGTCTACTAATGACTATAACTGTTATGCTACTCTTTAGTTTCATTTCTATACTGTCCAATAACTAGAGCTCTCTGCACGGTTCACAGCAATTCATAAACACAGGTCCAAGTCTGGGACCTCTTTCAGGTTCCATGCCCACAGCAAAAGTACATTAAAATGTTAGCAAAAAGCTGAGGTCTTGTGTGTGCTGAAGAAGAAATCCTTCAGAGGACTTGACCAAGAGGGAAGCCTTTCTAAATCTCTCTTAAAATGAACCTTTGATGGGGGGAAAAATCTAATATTCTTGCTCCAGACAAAATATATGAGAAGGTTCAAAGGATGCAAAACAACCTTCCTGTCTTTTCATTGTTCACTGCTCCAAAAACTGTTTAGATAGGGAGTAATGTATCAATACGAAACAGATAAACAAACTTCAGTTGGGGAGTCCACAGAGTACCTGTCCTAGGTTTCTGAGGGCCCTTGGCAATGCACCCTCCACGGACTCTCTCCCTCAGTGAGTCTGTCTTCTCACCACTGTTGTCACCAGCTGCTGCTGGTCCTACTCATCTTCGTTACCACCTGCTTGCTTGGTGGGTAGAGAGACCGCCAGTGAGCAAGCCAGCCATGGCATGTACTGCTCCTCCTCACCGCCCCCCCCCCCCGTTGCTTGAAGAAGATCCAGGGCAGGTGAATAAGCAGGCTGCGATGATGAAGAGGAGCGACTGCAGCAGGAGGGTCCCCGCTGAGGTGTGGGCCCTTGACAGGTGCCTAACCATGCTACCTTATGCTAGCCGTGGGTCCGCACATCCCTGTGAAAGGGTTGTGACAGTCTGATGGCAGGCTACTCCAGCAACAAGCCTGGGAAAGCAGAGAGGAATAACAAGGGGAATCCTTGGAAAAATCCCCCTTTTATCTATGTCCATGAGTCTGTAAGCACTGACTTATCAATTGATGAGGCAGTGGATTCATAATGGAAAAGCAGCACAGTTAATCAAAAAGGCAATCCTTAATCCCCTGATGATAAAGTACAGTAAAGATTACATAGCAAACATTATGGTAAAAAATTACACAGGGAGAAGGGCTAGCTGCCAAATTGAGCCCAGTCCCAGTGCTCTGTCTTGCACAAACACAGCCTCTGGACATTCTTTGTGTATACCAGTCAATGTCAGAAAGGATAATAGGTGGAAATGATCAATGAGATGGGGAGTCAGTGATGACTCCTTTGTCATAGACAGATCATTACCTGATCACGTTGAATCTTGAAGATGCCTGTAAGCTCTGCAAGGATGAGGGAGTGGTTTGCATGATTCCGCTCTGGAGACAGATGAATGCAGAAGGTTTTCTGACCTCTCTGGGGGGATTTCTTACCATTTAGCCATCTCCTGATGAGGCCTTTGTCACTGCTTGGGCCTAAGAACCACCAATACCCATATATCTGTCCATTTTAAAGATCATCTTTACTGTTCACTGGCCCTCAACCAAGATCGGCGCAGCTGGCAGGAACTATAGATAGTTCCTGAGAGGTACAGCTGATCCCATCTGTGGCTGCTTTTTCAAACTCATCTGTTCTTGGCGTTTAAATGAATGTTTATATTATTTGTAGCTGCTGAATTATCCAGATTCAGTACTAACTTATTCACTTGTCCATATTTTGTTTTACTATGTAAGCTTTCTTGGGGACACAATGGTCTTGAAAGGTGACTAAGAAATGAATTAGTTAAATAACTAAATTTCTTGTGCTCTTCCAATGAGCTATGATCATCCCCATGTATAGCGTTTTACTGTCCATCAAATAAGTAAGCAGCAGCCATTCACTTAAGCCCACTCCCTCTTTCTGGAATGAACATTAGACATGCACATGGTGGGCATGTCGTGAGCAGAGCCAGCTGGAGCCAGGGGTCAGACTAGATGGCCTGGGAGAACCCTTCCGACTCATTCTGTTTCTATGTTTCTAAGGTTAGCTATTGCAAACTCATCATTACACCCCATATTCCACTGAATCTCTTTTGACCCACAGAACTTCCAGGTCACTGAAAATTGGGCCAGTACCCTTTGCATAGCTACAACATTTATATGCACATCTTTCTCCTATCTTTAATTTCTTAATCTATGGGACATCCTTGGGTTTGCCAAGAAATGCTAGAATTGACTTCTGGTAAATATAATTGGTCAATTAAACCATTAATAAGGTTTTAACATCTACCAGAGCTTAAATGCACATGTTGCACCTATGTTGTAACGAATGATGACTGATTCCTTTATGTGCTGATGGAAATATAAAATTTTCAGGACACTTCCTTATTAGCAAGAAAGCTGAACTCATAGTCCTTGTTCTGAAACATCCATGTACACAAAGCAGCCCAAGTAGAAAAAAAGTAAGGGTGTGCTCTAATGTGTTTCAAATGTGCCTTTACAAACATGAACCACCCTTGGGCTGGAAGAGGAAAAACTGGCAATGGTAACCAGCAATATATCTGTACTCGGCACAAATTACACATGTAAGCACAAATGCGATGGACAACAAAAAGGTACAAAGCGGAGCAGTACTGTTCTGGATTGGAGTCACAGTGCCCCTCTGGTTTCTGCACCACCCCTCAACAACAGACAGCATCCTGTGGCTACAGAACAGAGAGCCTTTGGGCTACTGGGCAGTAAAAAATGAGGATGAGGAAGACGACGACTCACTGGGCTGCTTTGGGGATCTAGTTTTATGCTTCTGCAAGCTATGCTGTTCACACAAGCCTGCAGTTCTCTCACTTCTGTGCATGGGCAGTCCCATTTTGGCTATAAAAGCAGCACTACTCATAACCTGAACCTCAAAATGCAAGGAATGAAATGAGAGTTTCTGCTCTGCACACATGAACAATTCTTGGAGTGGAGGAGGGGTTTCCAGGGGCCTT